GCTATGAAAGGCTGTGCTCTTTCAGTGTGTAGTGCACTGAAGTGCGTGTTTGCTGTTAGACACGCAGCTTATTCCATTAATGTGTTCAGGTCACGTCTGAATGCTTAAGAAGCAGCTTTGGCGTTCTTCTAGCTACACCTGCGTGTGCGAAGCCATCGGGATTGAACCTTTTCTGCTACCCTGAAAAATATGGCAGGGAACTCTTTGAAATTATCCTTTATTATTGGAAAAGACATATAGATATAAAGTGTTTTTGTAGTAAAACTAGATTTTTTTTTTTGTGAGCCTTTTATGTTTTTTATGACGGTGTGGAACCTTGATGCTTCAATACAGGCAGAATGCTAACAGTTGTGGTTTAAAGTGCATGTTTGTAGTGCTTGTACAATCAATTAGCTTGTTGAGAAATGGTGTGGAAAATCTAAATGACTTTAAAAACAGTTTTTGAAAGTTAGTTTGCAGCTGCTGTGATCTTAGATGAGGAGGATGGATGGAAAAGTCGTGTTCTCTGGTCCCACAGAGCATCTGAGCTCTTCTTGTCTTTGGAGAGTTAGGGTGGCTGTGCTTTAATAGACTTGCTGGCTTTTTATTTTATTTTTTGTAGATTGTTGGCCCTTACTCTTCTTTTTGCTTTAAGCACAAGGTGAATGCAAAACTTGAGTCTTGACAGTGTTATCAGGACTGTATTAAGTACTGACCAATGCATATTTAAAATAATCATAGCCTGATATAGTGGCTCCTCTTCCTACATGCACCATTTTCTCCACCGTAACCTTCAGTTTGGGCAGTGGTGCCCAGTGCCTTAGATTGCAAGTCCTTTGGACAGGACCTGCCTTAGGTACTGGCACAGATAATGCTGCCATTAAGAATGCCCCAGTATATGTTCATTTTATGCAAGTAATGTAGGTCTAATAACTTTTAAGACAGGATATAGTCCTTTTGCTCCATTTAGAAGTCCTTGTGTAGTAGTCCGTTAGTATTTAGTAATTTAGCATGCTTGTGCTATATTAATTAACTGCTTATTTGTAATCTGTAGATGCCCTGATTATATTTGGAGTCAGGTAGTTTTAAAACATCCTAGTAAAAGTTTTTTCTCTACATTAAAATATTTTGCCTCCTTAACAGAAGAGGAGCTAGGAATTTGTATCCTGTACTGATGAGAAATTTGACAGTACAGCAAAGTCGAGTGAAATGAATAAAATACATGGCCCTAAAGGCCACCTGATGGAGTGTCCTGTGTCCTTTTTCACTACTATCCCCTCCTGCAACAGGCTGCTGCCTTTTCAGACCTAGCGAAGGCACTTGTTAATGTGAGCATTTTAAATGCTTTGTATTTAAAAAAAAAATGCTTAAAATGACCTAAATAACTTTAATCGGACAGGCTTAAGGAACAGCCGCACGTACTGTTCTTCAGTTAGCAGTAGGAAAGGGTGGGCTAGGGAGGAGGAGGAAGAGCAATAGCAGACAGTTACAGGTGGGCTGTGGGCATGTGTTCACTGGCCTCATCATTCTGCTGCCAGAACAGCCCGTGAAAGCACCTCTGGCTTTGTTTGATGCTGTTGAATAGTTGTTTAAAAGAACTAGTACTTAGAGTTGTTGTTTGTTGCTACGGAAATCTGGTCTTGCACACTGCCTGGCATCCTGGGGCCCTCCTTCATGTGCAGTGTGTGCAGTCAACAGTGATCCTGTGGTGTCATGCTTGTGTGCTGCATTAATCACAGGGTTACCTCTCCGTGCCACTTCTGCTTCATTTCTGGAAAGCTAGAGCACATGGTATGGAAATGTGACTTGTCTTCGTAAGTCTCCACAGGGCTAATTCTGAACAAGCAAACTTCGTGTTGTAGGTGCTTGTTTGTTATATAGTGTGTGACGTACATGGATGTAAATGGGGAAGAATATTCTCAGAGTGGTATCATTCTGTTATATACGCATTTTCTCAGAGTAAAAGTCACCTAGTAAAATTGATTTCTGACTTTTTAATGTTACCTTTTTGAGGTCTCTATCCCTGTACCCTGTACAAGATTATCTCAATCGTTCGCCTAGCAGTTGCTGTATAATACTCGGGCCATACAAACTGCAGAATTAATCTGCAGTTGGATATTTTCATAAGCTAAAATCTGATTTAAAAAAAAGACTTTCTTTTTTGCTTTTTTTTTTTTTGTGCAGTTAGTTGTCTTGCCTGAATGAGTGGGAACTTCTGCCTCATTGTTGAACAGGCTAAAGGTGATCTACAGGTTGTATATTGAGAAACATCCACCAGCGGTAGTAGATAACTTTAAAAATATTAAGATTTTTAATCCTCATTTTTACAAAGAAATGGAAGTGTATAACTGAATGACCACCTTGCTTGTTCATCCTTGTGTTTTGTTCTGAGAAAGAAATACTAACTTTTTACTAAAATAAAACAAAAAAACCCAAACCTCACTTTTTTTTATGTACTTTGAAGTAATGGAAGAGCTTGGATATCAGGATTTTGCTGATGTGTTGGTGGATTTCATTAACCTGAGATGAAACTATCCTGAGCATGTCTGCTAATTCACCTCTTGAAAATTTTGAAGTCATTTACTCAATAGAATCAATTTTCTCGTTTCTGAATGATGAGCTTCATGTTCTAATCCTGTCTTTTCATTTCATATTTGCATGTATAGATGGCTGCTCATCAGTGCTGGAAGTCCCTTTTTCCGCAAGCCCCAGCTTGCACTCAGTAACTGTTTCTAATCCTGCTATTTCTAGGAAGGACATGATTAAAGCTGAACTCTAATTATCAGTGATGCTTAGTACTTGCATCATAACGGACTCAAATCCCCATCCTTTTTAATTAAAATCTTAATTATATTTATTTGACATCTCTTAGGGGTGGAGGGAAAGGGGAAGCAATATCCTGTTTTTTGTTGTTGTTTAAATGGTTGTGAGTGAGGAAGAAATCAATATTGCATGCAGATCTTCTGATGATAGCAGGGAAGAGTAAAGACTCGCTTCAAGCCTTTAGGTTAAGGGGGAGGACAGCTTCTGTACCTCTCCTTTCTAAAACAAATTAATATAATTATATCTGTATTAACTATTGATTTTAGTAATAGGTACATTTTACTCCCACAAATGCATCTTTTTAAGTTGAAAAATTATAAGAAGCTATTTATTTATTATTATTTTTTAAACAAAGCTTGTAGGTAAACAATCTCCTATTCAGGCCTCCAACTATTGTAAATTGGGAGCCTAAAGCATCCAGTGTCCAAATCTCTCAGATACATAATAGTTAAATTGAGCTAAACTGCAGTATGAGTTTTACCAGTGCCTGAGGAAAATACATTATTGTGTTGAGAATAATAAAGGTTTTATCTTCTGGGTAAGGTGCCCTGCTGTCACGTGAGGGGACCTGGGCTTGAATTTTCCCTTTCATATATTGCTTTGTCAACTGAATTGACTAAAATGCCGTTTTCTGGTAGATATATATATTTTTTTTTTGTCTTTGGGCATTG